ACATCTCTATATATAAAAGGCTAATATGCAAAGTGTCTACTCAGGAGTTCGACCAAGAGACCAGGAATTCGATCGCTCGCTATGAAATGTGCTGACCACCAGGGGGCAGCACAGAACGAAGGCCCTGATTGCTGGCCATGCCTAGGGACCCTTCCACAAACACATTTCGTGCACCAGGCCTCTAGTTGTTACATAACCGTCCCGGGAGAGCAGCTTCCTTCCTGCAGTCCCGGCTTTGTCTGCAAGTTCCTGCCAGCGGGCGAAATAAAAACCTGGCACCTTGAGAAACCCTAGTAATTGGCCCAGCTTGGGCTGACTCTGGGAACCGATGTCTTTCCCGTGTACCCCCGCTCTACCTAGGATACAAAGGATCAATGTCCCATGTCCCATTACACACGTACACATTGCTTACGAAGTTAGATCCATTTTGCTTTCTACTGGCGGGGGATTATTCCTTTCGCTGAGACAAATCCCACAATCCCATAAATTGATTATTTCCCTAAAATCAGCCCTTCCCCAGATGCACACCTGCGCCGACCTCCCTGCACACTCCCCTGTGCCCCATCACCATTCCTCAGGCCTTCCCTTCAGGACAGAAGCTGGTGTGGATGAGGAACAGTCCCAGAAACCTTCAGTTCGGATGCCTTGTGGAGACGGCCCCCCTCTGCTGTCATGTGGACATTCTTAGGTGACTGCAGGACAGTGATTTCGTCTCCAAATATTCTATCCAACTGACCCTCTACAGGAAGAAGGAAAATCAAAGCTACAGTTCATCGCACATCGAAGGATTAAAATTGTGATTTTTAAAAGAGAAAAAAATCAATAATTTTGTTTGCCTGATCTGTGACACTATCCTTCATCTTGTAACTGACCCCACGGTTTGGAGAATCAGGAGCAGCCACTGAAGAGGGTCCCTGTCATCTACTATAGACTAGACCATTTCACTCCATGAGGACATCACCGGCTCTACTGCCGCCCACGGGCATGGCAAAGGGTAAATGAGCTGATACAGGAAGGCCGAGCCGGCAGGAAATGCCTGGGCCCCGCAGGGCACAGCGCCCGTCAGTGAGGCTCAGAGCAAAGAGCCTGAGCCAGACACACATACACACGCACACGCGCGCGCACACACACACACGCACACACACGTGCGTGCACGCACACACACATGCACACACACGCGCACACACACGCGCACACACACGTGCACACGCGCACGCACACACACACGCGCGCACATGCACACATGCACGCACACACACGCACACGCGCGCACACACACGCACACGCGCACACGCACACATGCACACACCCGTGGCTGAAATCTCCCCAGCTCGGGTTTCACACTCGCTCAGCCAGCACATCACAGGCCAGCACTGAGCCGCCCCGAGCATGCGGCTAGGAACTGGGTGGGAGCATGTTAGAGAGACGACAGGGTCAGGGGGCAGCTGCGCGGAGCGGATGCTGGTGGTTAAGGGGGCTCTGGGGACTTGTTCTCTCCGAGAGCCCACAGGCTGAGCGGAGGAAAAGGCTTCCTGGGAAAGGCCCCGGTGTCCCAGCAGCCTGGGCTGGAGGGAGGGCGCACCGGGACCACCCTGGGGAGCAGCCCTCTGCTCTCAGCCCTCCGTTCCCCACGCTGCAGGTGAGCAAACCGCATCCTCTGCTCAGCAGACAGCGTCCAGGGAGGGGGAGGGACGGGGTGACGCTGGGAGGGCTTCTTGGCAGAGGCTTTGGACGGGAGCCCTCTGTGACAGCGACAGTTAGAGGAGTGGGCAGAGGAGCTAGTCCAGATGTCTCCACCACGCCCCCGAGTGGGGGACAAGGGGACAGCAGGCGGCTCCCTAATGAGCCAGTTCCACCCAGCACTCTCCCAGGAGGCACAACCGCCATGGTGGGAGGGGGGTCCCTTTAGGAGCGGTGGCACACAGACAGGAGGGGGTGGTGCAGGGACTCCAGGGCTCTTGGGATTCTGACAGCACAGTTGCTGCAATGCAGAGAGCTTTGAAAAGAGAGTGCAGCGCAGGCCGCGCTCCCGCCCGAGGGAACCGCCTGGACCGTAGCTAAGTGTCTTAACAAGAACGCAGTCCTGGCTCCTTGGGGACCCCATGCCGCCAAACGCCTGTCTAAACTGATGAGTTCAACTGTTCACCTTGGTCAATAATGAACGTAAAACAACTGAGAACTAGGGCGGAACTCACAACCGCTATAAACCGAAGAGATCGGGTGACAGGCCCCACCTCAGGCCCAGGACGAATCCTTGTGAAGACAAAGCCCTCACTCCGACTCTGTGGCGGGGACAGCTGTTCCCTCGCTGTCCACCGGGTGTGGCCTCCCCAACCCGCAGAGTTCTCCGTATCCTGAGCGGAGACCCCTCTCGCTGCCACTTCTCCTGCTGGCTCGATTTCTTAAGCTTCCAGATACCGAGTAAGTCACCCTGGACTGTTGTGTTTCCTGGTAAACCCCTTTCCTCCAGCCGATCCCATAATGACATCGTTCTCACCTCATCACTTTTTTCTGGGCTCCAATTTATCCATTTCCATTTCCGAGTGGATCCACCAGAGTTGGTCAAACTGGCACAGACACAGGGGGCGTTTCTTTTTAACCCCTGCCTCTGGGCCTCCCTCAGTAAACCCAGGCTTTCAATCATCGTCTGGTATTGATGTGATATTTGGCTGGTAAATAAAACACCACAAATTCTTTTTCACGTGAAATCCTATCAAAACTGCTGGCTACTGTGTTGGCTCCCCATAATAATCTGCTGCTTAATAAACAAATATCTATATATAAAGAGCCAGGGTCCCTAACATCCAAAATGACCAAACAGACGACCGAACACCGGAAGTCAGTCCTGCAGTCAGTGCTGGGTGCCCACGGCAACCCAGCACTGACTGCCAAGCGGGCTGCGGATAAGGCCCGGAGAGGGAAGCAGGGTCTGATCCACAGCCTCCGTGGCAGCTGTTGATCAGCCCTTGCCTTTCTTTCTCTCCAAGCCTTGCCAGCAGCCCTGCCTCTCTGATCAGGCCCGGAGATAGGCCCGGAGACACTGACTGGCATAGAAACTGACTAATCAGAACCAAATCTGGGTGAACTGCAAGGAGCCAATGGCTGTCTAGAAGGTGGAGCTTTTGACGCTGACTGGCACGGAAACCGACCAATCAGAACCTAATCTGGGTGGACTTTGAAGGCAGAACCTAAGGTGGCGGCTGAGGAGGGGTTTTAAGGGCAACAGCTGTTTGGTGTAAGATGTAAGAAAGCGATTCAATTTTTTAATGACCAGTTTGGCAGTATAGTGCATATGGCTGGCTATCAGTCCAGATATAGGGATTATGTATTTTTGTTTGCCAAGAGCATCTCCTCCTGCTGACAAAGGCTCCCCCCCAGCCTCCTCCCGCCCCCATTTAAGCAATCCTATCCTATGTAATCTACCTATACTAATAAAAGGGTAATATGCTAATTAGACCGGGTCGACTGGCCATCTTCGGGACATCTGACTTCCTTCTGGACAAAGCTATGGTGATGGGGACTGAGGCAGAGGCAGTTAGGGGCAATCAGGTTGGCAGGTGAGGACAGTTGGGGGCGAGATCAGGCCAGCAGGGGATGGCAGTTGGGGGTGACCAGCCCTGCAGGGGAAGGCCATTGGGGGTGACCAAGCTGGCAGGGGAGGGCAGTTGGGGGTGAAATCAGGCCTGCAGGGTAGGGCAGCTAGGAGTGATCAGGCAGAGGGGGTAGGGGCAATCAGGCAGAGGCCGTTAGGGGCGATCAGGCAGGCAGGCAGGTGAGCGGGACATCTGACTTCCTTCTGGACAAAGCTATGGTGATGGGGACTGAGGCAGAGGCAGTTAGGGGCAATCAGGTTGGCAGGTGAGGACAGTTGGGGGCGAGATCAGGCCAGCAGGGGATGGCAGTTGGGGGTGACCAGCCCTGCAGGGGAAGGCCATTGGGGGTGACCAAGCTGGCAGGGGAGGGCAGTTGGGGGTGAAATCAGGCCTGCAGGGTAGGGCAGCTAGGAGTGAACAGGCAGAGGGGGTAGGGGCAATCAGGCAGAGGCCGTTAGGGGCGATCAGGCAGGCAGGCAGGTGAGCAGTTAGGAGCCAGCAGTCCCAGCTGCGATAGGGATGTCCCCGATTGGAGAGGGTGCAGGCTGGGCGGAGGAACCCGCCCCCCCCCCCGCACGAATTTCGTGTACCCAGCCACTAGTAAATTTATAAATGGGCAGTGTATAATAGCACATCTACTTTAAACAAGTAAGTCCCCCTGTTTCTGCCCATAGTTCTAGCTGAAATAACACAAAATCTTGCTTCTACCGCCTTTGGTGTTTCCATTCCCTCATAGCTTCGTGTCTGCTGTGAGTTCGACCAATGAAGTACAAGTACTTCTACTTTTCATCCCATTTGTTGGTAAGGATGGTAAACAGAGCCGGACCCACGCAGAGCCCTGTGTGCCAGCCGGGACCTCCTCCCCTTTCTTGCGCACAATTTACCTTGAGAACCAGAGCCCTGTCTCTGATTCACAGGCACCACCTGTGGCGACGCTGGCTGGTCCCCACAGCCCAGGGTTTACCGAGTCTCACCTCACCTCCTCACCCCAATTCTCACTGCGCCCTGTACACCGACCTCATTCTCCATTAACCTCTGACTCCGACAACCCACGGGATACCCTTCCACGCCGGCGCACTGTGCCCAGCCTTAAGGTGAGCCTCACGTCCAAGGCCACCCGACGTCTTCCGAACATATCTGGCTGCCACATGCTGACTTCTCCCCATGAGCCCAGAGGCCACCAGGCTCACCCTTCAAGGTGCCCCCTCACTTCCTGGGGCGTCTGTCTTTGAGCACAGAGGCCTGGCATCTCCCACTACTCAGTTTCCCCAGTACTCGCTCATGGCGGAAGCATCTTAAACTTACTCCGTTTCACCACATCCCTCTCATCTCTTCCTCCATCCTCACCCTCTCCATCCCCTTACCTCCCTTCCCATGCCCTTTCTTCCCTCCCGGCGCCCTTACCTCTCTTCCTGCATCTGGGGACTCAGGAACCTGCTGGCATCATCCTCGTGGCTGCTCTGCTGGCTGCTCTGCTGGCTGCTAAGGAGACACAGGATGCGAACCGTTAGGGACCAGCTTCTCTCTCACCCTGGGGGAGGCCATTAGCCTGCAGCTGGACAGAGAAACGGGGTCACCACATTTTAGAAATACCAGTTCCCGGTGTATGATTGCACAGAGCGCACTGACATCAGTGGGCATAGAAATGACGAATCTGGTGGAAACACACCTGCAGCTGGTGAGGCAGGGCCTGACCTTGCTCTCCCGTGGCTGTGCCCTGGGGACCGTGCCTCCAGCATCCTCTGCACCGGGCCTCAGTGTCTCGGACAGGGCAACACGGTTCCTCTCCCACCCACAGACTCTCAGGACCTGGTGGACACGGTGGGGAGGTGGTAGGAAGGAGAGGTAACAGGAAGTAGGGGGGTGTCCAGGAGGGCAAAGCGGACCTGATTCTCTCCTCCAAGGAAGGCTGGGGAGGCTGAGGGTACAAGAAGGGTGAGAGGGTGGAGTCCTTCCATCTAGCCCAGAGGCAAGACGACTATATGACTACTAGTGGCCCCGTGCATGAAATTCATGCGGGAGAGGGGGACGGTGTCCCTCAGCCCGGTCTGCACCCTCTCCAATATGGGACCCCTCAGGGGATGTCCCTGTGGGATGGGGCCTAAACCGGCAGTCAGACATCCCTCTCACAATCTGGGACCGCTGGCTCCTAACCGCTCGCCTGCCTGCCTGCTTGACTGCCCCTAACCACTTCTGCCTGCCAGTCTGATCGCCCCTAACCACTGCCCTGTCAGCCTGATCAACATCTAACTGCTCCTCTGCCAGCCCGATCACTTCCAACTGCCCTCCCCTGACTGCATGATAGGCCCCAAACACACTCCCCTGCTGGCCATCTTGTGGCGGCCATCTTATGATGACATTGCACCTAGGCTTTTATTATATAGGATGAAGCCAAGATATTTGTATCAGCTCTTTTAAAAAAAAATTACAATCAATACCTAATTCATCCTGATTGACCCCTAACTGCTCCCCTGCTGGCCTGATCCCCCCCAACTGCCCTCCCCTGTCATGACCTGCCTCCTCTGCCAGGACCCGCCTCCTCCGCGTGAGGCGGCAGAGACGCCGGGACCAGCCTCCTCTGTACATGTGGAGCCGCGGGATTCCCCAGGCCTCACCGTGTGGAGAAGCCGCCAAGCCCCACCTCCACTGTGTGTGCAGCCATCTTGTGATGACATCACACGCGCAGGCCACCTAGGCTTTCATTAGTATAGATGGTCAGAGTTGTTCAAGATGCTTCCACTGACGTTGTGTGGAATTCACTGTCCTCCATCTTACTCAAGATAAAGGACTAAAGGACACGTGTTCAGATACCTCATGACACCAGTTAAACATGCAGCTGATAAATAATCTTTACTACTTGCTACTTGTTAACTCCCCCAGGCATCTGGTCAGGAGGCCTCAAACCACAACCCAGGCCAAGGGGGCACCCTGCTGTGTGCAGTACTGAGTTAAGGTGGTGTCTGCCTTTTCTGTGTGTTTTTATTTTTTAAACTTTCTTTTAAGTGTTTGCCTTTTTTTTAATTTAAAAAATACATATTTTTATTTACTTCAGAGATGAATGGAGAGGGAGAGAGACAGAAACACCAATGGTGAGAGAGAGTCATTGATTGGCTGCCTCCTGCACGCTCCACACTGGGGATGGAGCCTGCAACCCGGGCATGTGCCCTGACTGGGAATCAAACCACGACCTCCTGATTCATAGGTCGACGCTCAACCACTGAGCCATGATGGCCGGACAGTATTTGTCTTTTTTAATGGTTGGGGGAAAAACAGAAAAAATAACATTTCGTGAAAATTATATGAAACTCAACTGCAGAATCATCAACCCATTCACTCATTCACATACTAGCTATGGCTGCTTCTTGGCTGCGACGGCAGAGTAAGCAGAGCTGCCTGCGTGGGAAACCGATGGACCCGCAGAACCGGAAACATGCAGCAGCTATCCTCCTCCAGGAAAAGCCAGGAATCCTAAAAATGAACCCCCAGTCCCAAAACCACTATACCCCAGGCTCCAGTAAAACTACAGCTGCTGCCTGGTCCTGATGGAGCGTCTGCTACAGTAGAGCACACTGGGCGCACTGGGCTCACTGGGCGCACTGCATGCACTGGGCTCACTGGGCACTGGGCTCACTGGGCTCTGTGGGATCACTGTGCTCGCTGGGCTCACTGGGCACTGGGCTCACTGCACACTGGGCTCACTGGGCTCTGTGGGCTCACTGCGTTCGCTGGGCGCACTGGGTGCATTGTGCTCACTGGGAGCACTGAGCGCACTGGGCTCACTGGGAGCACTGGGCGCACTGGGCTCACTGGGAGCACTGGGCGCACTGGGCTCACTGGGAGCACTAGGCTGAATGGGAGCACTGGGCTCACTGGGCCACTGGGCTCAATGGGAGCACTAGGCCACTGGGTTCAAGGAACTTTGGGCTCACTGAGCGTGCTGGGCTCACTGGGAGCACTGGGAGAACTGAACACACTGGGCTCACTGGGAGCAATGCGCGCAGTGGGCTCACTGGGAGCACTGGGCGCACTGGGAGCACTGGGTGCACTGGGAGCACTGGGCTCACTGGGAGCACTGAGCGCACTGGGCTCACTGGGAGCACTGGGAGCACTAGGAGCACTGGGCCCCTGGGCTCAAGGAGCTTTGGGCCCACTGAGCGTGCTGGCCTCACTGGCTCTGAGCCCCTTCCTGAGATGATCCTGGGGACGAAGCCTGAGCGGGGCTGCGGGGGAGGCCTGCCCAGGGCCCGTGCTCGCTCAGTCACAGAGCACACGGCTTTTTGTGGGCGCAGCTATAACCATGCACTTATGTTCTGTCCTCCCAGCAAGAAGTAAATGAGCTTAGCAGCAATTTACATCAAATTTCCAAACACGGACACCAGAACTGCGCCATCCACGAAGCCCGCAGTGGCTGGGCAGGAGCTGCACACACAACGCCTTCTCCCACTTCCTCTCCATGAAGCACCTCCTGCCGCTTGTTCCCTGTGAAGTGGCTGCTCGCCGTTCCCCCTTTGCTGGGCCTCACGGACGGGCACCTCCTGTGACGCAGTTACACACGGTGCTGCGGCCCAAGGGCCTCCTGGCCGGGACTGGCCTGCTGCACGCATCAAGCACCCTCTCCTGCAGCGTGGGGCGTGCGGCACTGCAGCCCACAGGACACGGACTCACCGCAAAGCAGACACCGCCCCAGAGTGAGCCGCAGGGAGGAGCAGTGGTCAGACCGCCCTACAGGTGGGAGAGGCAGGGGGAGGTGCCTGGAGCCAGCCGGCAGGGCTGCCCCCACCCACGTGTCAGGATCAGCACATGGCCTCCTCCCGGCAGGCAAACACCCGACAACAACGGGCTCCTTCCCTCTCTCTCTGGCCCTCGAACCTGAAGCTCAGCCAATGCAGGGATCCCAGAACTCAATGCGACGTTCCAGGGTTTCAGAAACAGAATTCTGAACCGACGTGAGCACAGGGTCCCACTAGATGGCACTGTCGCCGTCCAATCCAGAACCTCAAGGAGGCCAACCACCCAGCTCTTCCGGAACCAAAGAAACCAAGACGCAGCCTCTGCACCGGCTCGTGGCCTTCCCACCGCTTAGAAAACAGCTCAGGCGGCAGAGACAAGGCAGCAGTGCATCCCCTTCAGCGGCCCCGGGTCAAAGTCACACAGACCATCACCCCGCGTGCCTTCCACGGTCGTTTCCCTGACGCCCACTGCGTGCGCACGGCAAGGGCAGCGTCCACACAGAGGCGAGCCTGGGCTGGAGCGCGGAGCCTGGGTGTGATCCGACTCCGCCCTCCCGGTTACACGACCCGGAGCGAATTATTTGGCGTCGTTTCCTCACCTGCACAAGGGAGTCAGCTCATGGCCGTTCCTACCTGGAAGCTGCTGTGAGGCTAAGGCATGACCGCGTGTGGAAGATGAACAGCCTGCACGCACCGCCCGCACAGGAACGCGGGCCCTGCAGGCACTGCCCTGCGGGTCCTGGGGGAGAAGGCTCCGATCTGAGGGGGACCCTGCTCTCGAGGCGTTAGGGTCGGAGTGTCAGAGCAGTGTCGGGGGGACGATGGCTCTTAGAGGTCAATGCTGGCGGCTACAGAGCCACAGGACGAGAAAGAGCGCTCCCCTCTGGGCGGGTGACTGTCTCAGCAAGGAGAGTGTGCACGGACCCTGAACAGGACAAGCAGAGCGAGGAAAGGAGGCCGGCCGTTCCCAGCAGCTGCCATGTCCCGGGCCCTGGGCTGAGATGGGCGTGAGGAGCTCCCCGTCGCAGGTGCAGTGAGCACAGCACCGCGATGCAGCCGCATGGAGAGGCAGTGCTGGAGCCGGCGGAGAAACTTCCCGGGGGCTGTCAGGGAGCACGTGGGGGTGGGGTGAACACGCAGCGGGGGCTGCAGATGGATCCCGAATGGCCTGTCACAGGCGCAGTAAGCACAGCACCGCGATGCCGCCGCACGGAAAGGCAGTGCCGGAGCCGGCGGAGAAACTTCCCGGGGCCGACCAGGAGGGGCCGGCCTCGCTCCTCCCAGGTTGGAACCCAGCTGCCCACAGGGAGTGGCTGCCACCCACGCTCTACGCAGTCCCACGCGATCTCGTCGCTCAGCAGAACTTCAGAGGCTCAGGCCCTGCTCGCCCTCTCACATAAGTGCCTACACATGGGCAGGCCTGTCAGAATGCGGAGCCCACGTCGGTTTCCCTAGAGCCTGAGTTACAGCGACACCCGGGCACAGGCAGCT